AGGTTGGAGGCCATGGCTATTGGGTTGGAGGCCATCGCTAGCAGGTTGGAGGTCATTGCCATTAGGTTGGAGGTCATTGCCATTAGGTTGGAGGTCATTGCTACTAGGTTTGAAGTCATTGCTTTTGGGTTGGAGGCCATTGCTTTTTGGTTGGAGGCCATCGCACTAGGTTGGTTGTCATTGCTATTTGGTTGGAGGCCATATTATTGCTCTTATGTTGGAGGCCATCGCTAGTAGGTTGGAGGCCATCGCTAGTAGGTTAGAGGCCATTGCTATATGTGCTTTCTGTTGCACTGGAAGAACGTTGGAGCAGGAAGAGTACGTGCCCCAGACGTTGATGTCCTCCTCACCTTCACCTCCAACGCCGTCACCAGATTCGTTCCTTGGACATATTTTGCAGGGGCCTTTTCAGGGTGTCAAAATGTGATTCCGATGTCTTGTAGTGAAATGATATCATATCATTACCTTAATAATCTTGATAGGCCTTAAGGTGTTGATAGGAAAAGTTTTCAATAACCATTGGTGGCACCAGGACCTGCTGATCCTCAGTCAATCTTTTTCTACTTGCAGTAGTCGCTGTACCCTTCTCTATGAGGATTACGCTGCTTCCATAAGTTCCACGACAGGTCAGTTGCAGCACCTCTCTATATACAATCAGATTGCTTTTTCAATCCGATGCCACCAAGGACCTTGAACAAGGCTGACGGTGAAGGGAACGTGACTGTTTAGTCCACAGCTTCAAGCTCAAACCCGGTAGTGACACAGCCAAAAGCCTGGCTTGCATTTGGACTAATAGATTCTCAGACTATGGGAATTTATATACAGATGAGGAAGGGGAAGTGGCATTGGGTTTGCACGAGTTTCGTGTGACCGCCCATAGACACCACCCAATTCTTGCTTCAGCTGCCACTGCGATCAACTCCCGAACAAGTATCGTGGAGCATGGTCGTTTGGGCACTTTTACCAGAGCTAATCCATAAGTCCTGCTGAATAAATGCATGTCGAAACAGTCGTTTCAAAGAGAAAGCGCCAGGTGACCTTCCGTCCAGTCTCTTCACACTCTTCCCGTGCGCCCACACCGCCCTCGGGGAAGGCAGGAACAAACGACATGTTCGGCGAGCCCCCTGCTTGAAGGTTGTATCGACACATGTTCGTCCTCAAGATCTTGGCTTTAGGTTCGAATAGCAATAGCAACAAAACCTGGTCATCCTCAGCTTTTTGCTAGTTGCTAGTTACTCTACGCGAGCGCTTACGACGGTGACTGTTTCTGTGAATTAGGCCAAATCCTGGAAGGTTTGCCATCCCAGGCACGCAATCGTTCCCCCCCCATCAGGAAACTGCGGCGGCCGCCGACATCAAGAAGGCCAGGGATTTAGTTTGATCTATGATCTATTTGTGCAATATAAAGGCCGTGCAATTTTCCGCTATTTCGGAGCCACTCGTTGTGATGCTGCTTGGTCTTACGAGTGCTTGGCGCCAGGCGGTCCAGAGCGAAAATGAGAAAGTCTCGAGGACCCTCGGAACTTGCCCCATTTGGCAAGTGAAACCTTGTTGCTTCATCTTGTTTCATTGTAAGATTGTTGTTTCATCTCGTTTCTGGGAAGCTGGCAGCTGGCGAAACAGGGAGCAGCTCCGAGCTTTGTGCAACACATTGTCAGCAGACATGCAGGAAGATGCTGTAGCTGGTGCCGTACGCTTTGGTTTCCTTCAGTACTTGTATTGCTGTTATACCTTGCTTAAAGCCCAGCAAACCTAGCCACCATTCCTGCCCTACTTGCCCACCAAAGCTAGTCCACTTTTGCCGAGCAATCACAAGAGCCGTCAGGAGGGGGAGCTTGCCCACTTCACCAGATGTGAGGATTGGAGATGATCCCGCGCTTTGACAATTGAATGTCTAATCATCGGGATGCTCAGCATTTTGAAGCGGAGCTGTGACACGAAACAAAGCGAGTGACTTGGAACCAAAGAGACTCTTTAGCTCTTGCCTAAATTCCTGCACGTTGCAGGTGTCATCATGTCATCCTGCATGGAGAGCATATTAAACAAAAAAAGAAATATATTATATATAATATATATATATACATGTATATAATACATTACTATACTATACACGTACGGTACGTATATGTTGTTTGTGTCTATCTAAAGTGCCTTGGCTTGAGTCACACAAGCTGCTCGAGCTCCAAGTGGGCAAAACAAACATTGTTCTTGTTTTCTAGTCCGACGGCAACCCACATGGTGTGCGAGACGAATGACCCCTTCTCTAAGAGTGAGCCACCGGGCTGTACAACTGACGCCAACCATAGGCAGGAACGAAATAAACATTAACGAAGATAAGCATCAACAAAAAACGTCATGATAAGTCTCGAGAAAGTGTTTGGTTCCCTGGCGCTGGTCCCTTGGCCAAGAGACCTTACACAGCCAGTTGTGGGACATGTGAGGGTGACATTTTAATCACGCGTCAGCTATTCCAGTCTTTGACAGCCGTTTGT